TGACCCACTGAACCTCTGTTGGTCTCTCTGACTGGGATGACAAGCAAACATTACACTGAGCCTTACACTGAGCCTGAAGTTCAATTTTTCATATCACCACTACAAACACTGACGTTATTTTGTTCTCTATGTTAATAAGGAATATTTTTAAGGTATCCTATAGTTATCAAATCAGAATTGAAAACTTAACTTGGATGGAAATCCTTCTTAATGCTAACCACACAATTTGTCTCTAACTCTATGTTGTATTGTTATAAGGGGAAAAATCCACAGGCAGTGGATGGGGTTAAGCCAGGTAAGTTCATTTCTTAAACTGACTCTGACAAGTTCATGAAGTGTCTTCTCTACATTAGAAAATCCTGTGGAAAAACTCTGCCTCAAGTCACTTAGTAAAGTTTTATGGGAATCTTCCTCAGTCTTGTCTTGTTTTGTCTATAAAATCTCTCCAAACCTGTCTACGGGAAACTGCAAATTAAGTCAGGTTTGCAGCTGGAGAAAGGCCAGCCATTTGGGAACTGAGGCATGAGGTACACAACCAGCACTTGCTTTATTTTTATTTTATTTTTTATTGAGGTAACACTGGTTTACAACACTGTTCACGATTTAGAGGTACAGGATCACACCCTTGAGATTTATTTTACACCACCACACCCACCTCAAGGCACCCACAAGCCTCCTCCACTCTCTACTGACAAGCAGCAATTTTCAGTAGCCAGACAGGGACTCTCCTGGGTCAGCCTCACTCTAAATTTAAGATAATTTCCCCTCTGATAAAGACGCCCACTTCTTACATGTGTTTATACAATAACCAATATTTTTAAACTTACTTTCTAAATAGCATCAATTCACCAAGTATAATTTACAATTACAGTTGTCATTCTGAGGAACTTTTGATATAAACAAAAGTATTCATTTCAGAGGAGACTTAGAACATAAAGGTGTAAAATTCCGAGCATAATGATCTGCATTTTTTTTTTTTTGAGGAGTATCCAAACGAATATAGATTCCAATATTGTTCCCTTAAAAGTTATCTTGATTGAGGCAAACAGATAAAAAAGCAAAAATCTTTTAGATTCTTCCAAATGTCAACACAAATGTAGTAGTCTTTATCCTGTTATCCCACTCCCCCAAAATGCTTCTCTTTTTTTCTGACTTGCTTCTCTTCTATCCTGGTTGGTCAGAAACCTCCACAGAATAATTAGCTCATCAGGTTAAATCCCCCTCAGAACAGAGACAACTACTTTGATTACAAGACCTAGTCTCATTCTGCCCTGAAATTACAAATTTTCTAAAACTTGCCCTAAAATTACAAATTTCCTAAAACCTAGAAAGATAAATTTGCAGAATTAGAAATAGTTATAGGAATGTAGAATTGAGAGAACTGAGGAACGTAGAACTGTGTGTGTGTTCAGATGCAAAAGAATTGGAGGGAAAGATGGAATTTAAAAACAGTCACTAAAAAAAGGAAGAACTTAGAAAAGTCATACATAATGGGCACTTAGAAACTATCCCCAAGTCACTCCTGGGACCACAGGCTGGACTGTGATTAAATCCATAAGCAAAGAAAGGCTCCACCCACTGGGTAATTCAGAGATAGGATCTGTAATCTCTCTAGATAACATTCAGAAGTTACTCTTGATACAGAGGTTTCCCAATTCTCTGCTCTCTTTTTTGCAGTAACCATAAAGCAGACAGAAAGACAATGAATAAGGAAAACTAAAATGGGAAATGTCCCCAAATGCAGATCTCCAAATGTTCTTGCCAAACATTTTAAAGAAGTAGAGAACAAAAAACATAAGATTCAGGATGAATGAATGAACTTATAGATAAAACAATCAAATACTC